GAGAGAGAGGGAGAGAGAAACAGTTACGAGGAGAGAGAAAGAGGAGGGAGAAGGGAAGGGAGCGCGGCAGGGAGCGATGCGGGGGACAGAGAGGAGAAAGTTTTTGCATGCGCGGCGCTCAACAAAAAGAGGGAAAAAGGCACCGAAACAGTTACAGCTTGCCTCTATCCTAATTCAAAATTGAAATCACCATATCCGCGCGTGAAAAAGTGACGCGGGAAAATAAAATCCTACGCCTATTCGTATTCGAACAAAATTCCGAGAGTTTTCCCCAATGCGACCGAGAACATTCACACACAAAAAGGACACGTCGAAGTTCCGCTTATCCCGGAATTTCCAACTGTTGGACCCAATTCCCAATGCGCTCGCTAAGGCGCACGTAAATTCTCATGCATTTCCCGACTTGCAAAAAGAAAAACAGAACCCGGGAATCGTAAAAGCTTTCGAAAGAAAAACAGAACCCGGGAATCGTAAAAGCTTCCTAAAATCAAGAAAACGAAATGGGGTTTTTATGGGGTTGGTGTGATACAAGCAAACGGGTTCGGGAAGTGGTTCGTCTCATATGTGACGCGCCATGTTATTCGTTAAAACAGTACATTATTGTGTGTACTATTTTGAAACAAATTTATGACACAGTGTATAGTCTGGTGTAGTATTCCAAATCCGGATACATCCGAACAAGGAGTAAAGCAACTTTGAGGCGAGGAGCACAGTCAGTACATATATCTGTTGCGCTCCTCTCATGGTTCGGATGTGTCCAGATGTGGAACACCACAGTTGAGTATACACTGTGTTATACGCCTCTGAGTCAGTACATATATCTGCTACTAGTGTGTTATATGTACTGCTGCCTCAGTACATATATCTCCTGTGTCCAGATGTGGAACACCAGAACATAGTAATATATTACACTGTGTCATAGTTTCACTTGGAGTTGAGCATCCCACTCATCCGAATCAGAACAGTATAATGACACAAACTCGAGTTTGTGAGTAAAACGAGTTGTGGCTCTTCACAGACTTAGAGGAGTAGGATGACCTGTATTTAGAAGTGTGAGGACCAGAATGAATTGGAGTTCTGCACCGATGTGTACATGTATATAGCGAGAGAGATAGAAAGAGAGAGAGAGACAGAAAGAGCGAGAGAGAGAGAGACAAAAAGAGCGAGAGACAGAGAGTCTTAGAGAGACTGTACTTAATTTTTAGGAGACGCAGGGTCGAGCACACGCGTAGACCATCAGCCTCGTTTTTTGAAGCATTTCAGACGATCGTTGTAGGAGAGCAGCAAGGTAATGTGAATCTCCAAGATAAGCGAAGCTAGGATGTATCCGAGATCACAGGAGATAAGCAGACAGAGGAAGTCCGCAAGAAATGGTCGTGTACATTTGAAGAGCGAGAGATATAGAAAAAGAGAGAGAGACAGAAAGAGCGAGAGACAGAGTGTCTCAGAGAGACTGTACTTAATTTTCTCGAGACGCCGCACGGACGGCGCAGGGTCGAGCACATGCAGAGATCATCAGCCTCGCTTTTAAAAGCATTTCAGACGATCGTTGCAGAAGCGCAGCAATGCAATGTGATTTTCCCAGATAAGCGAAGTTCGGATATATCCGAGATCACAGAAGATTGACAGAGAGGAAGCCCACAAGATATGGCATATTAGCACGCCAGAGGGCTGAGAGATGGAAAAGACAAGCACCGTATAGTCACCCACAACATTTCGTGTCACGAACGTATCCGAAGTGTCGAACTAGTATAGACCCTTCAGTTTGAAGCTTCCCCTGTGTTTTTTGGGACAC